AAAAAAATCGGACAATGACATTACAACTCGATCGAATTTAAATGCATCTTCCTGTTATATCTGCATGAATATAAACGAAAACGAATACTAAGGTAGGTCGAGTTAAATTTATTTATTTATTATTTATCAACCAATGACCTAATGGACAATCCTTGTTGATGAGGTATACATTAAAAAGACATTTAAAAAACGCATTAAAAAGGAATTAAAGGTGTTATAAAATTTATATTTATTAAATCCTATTTTTATTAAAGAAAAAGTCACCAAAGTTCACCATGAGTTGACATACAAAATACGCTTAATCGTTTGGAATCGGAAATCGTTTTTTGCTATGGTCAATTGCTGCCAGGAGAAAACGAAATACAAATTACATATTTGGAAAATTGATCTAGAATCTCGAACATATTAAAAATCTATGCTAATAGCTCTGATAGCCCTTCAAAAAACAATCTTTAAAATCCACGCTTATAGCTTCGATACAAATCTCAAGAAATATATTTTAATAATCCACACTTATTGCTCTGATAGACCTAAAAATCCACGATTAGAGCTCTGATAGTTCTTCAAAAATTAATCTTTAAAAATCCCGCTCCGTTAAAAAAAAAGAATCTTCAAAACATATTCTTTAAAAATCCACGATTAGACCTCTTATAGCCCTAAAAAAATAATCTCTTAAAATCCACGCTTATAGCTCTGATAGTTCTTCAAAAAATATTATCTGAAAATCCACGCTTATAGTTCTGATAAAAATCCACACTCATAAGTCTGATAGTCCTTCAGAAAATATTATATAAAAATCCTCGCTCATAAGCCTGACAGGACTTTAAAAAATATTATTTACAAATCCTCGCTCATAAGTCTGACAGGGCTTCAAAAAATATTATTTAAAAATCCACACTTATAGCTCTGATGTCTACCCAAAATAATATTTCAAAATTCACGTTTATAGCTCAGCTCAGCACAGTCCTTCAAAAAATATTTCACAATTCACGTTTATAGCTCTGACAGTCCTTCAAAAAATATTTCAAAATATATATATATAGCTTTGATAGTCCTTCAAAAATATACTTTAAAAATCCACACTTATATCTCTGATAGTCTTTCAAAAATATTATTTAAAAATTCACGCCGATGGATTGTCCTTCCAAAACTATTATTTGAAAATCCACGCCTACTAGGAGGATAGTCCTTGAAAAATATTATTTAAAAATCCACGCTTATAGCTCCGAAAGTCCTTCAAAAATTATTATTTAAAAATCCACGCTTATCGCTCCGAAAGTCCTTCAAAAATTATTATTTAAAAATCCACGCTTATAGCTCTGATTGTCCTTAAAAAATATTATTAACAAATCCACACTTATAGATAAAAACTATTTTAAAAACGCCACATAGGCGAGATAGTCGAAAATGGTTTAAAAAATTCCTGTTTTCTTTATTAATAATATTCAAATTCCCGCTTATATTTTTGATAGTCCTTCAAAAAACAATTAAAAATCCACACTTCTTTCAGAAATAATTCAAATATTCCTTCTTATAATTCTGATATTTGAAAAAAATGTAGTATTGTTTTACCAACTTTGAATGTATAACATATTTCGTTCCTGTAAAAAAAAACACATAGAAGGTGAAAGTAAAGTAATCTCCAAAACAAAAAACACATTTACTTTTTTTCTAAATTCCATTAAAAACCACACTTTTAGCCAATGAATTATTGTTCGTGTGACAAAATTTGAATATTTCATTTTCATTAGAAAGATCATAAATCGTTTTCAAATAATTGAGAGTAACAAGATCACGATTATGTAAATAAGATCCAATTGAATTTGGCATAAATCCTCCACCATAGCCAGTCCATTAGAAAGTTCCGAATTAGAACATCTGATAAGGAATTTCAATCAATATTGATACATTTAAAAATCCAAAATATATTGAAAACAAAATATATTTTGGCCAATTTGCTAAAAACATAACAAATGATTTTCTCCTTTCAAAAAACGATAACGAAACAAAAGCATAAAAGCACCAACGAAAAAAAGTGTCATTAATAACAAGTTTATGGGCGATACCTTCAAACGTGTGCAGTTTCAATAATGAGATTACGAGTAAATCTTTCTTCCATTGTAAAGTAGTGACAAACGTAGAGTAGGTAGATGACTTGGCACCATCCCCATCCAATTGATACTGGCATGACACGTTCACGTTTTTCTTTATACTGTTATTGTTGTTGGTGTATGCGTAATTTGTTAGACAATATATGTATTTTTTTATTTAATGAATAATATTGGCAATTGTGAATAATAACATTGATCTTGAATTTCTGGCATTTGGTTGTCGTCGATCAGCGATGATTGTTACAAATAAATTTTGGTTTTTATTATGTGTGTGTGTGTTTTTATAAGGAAGCGGTATATTTTTTTGTTACATATTCACAAACGTTCTTTAGGATTTTGTAACTTCCGTATAAAGGTGGGGATGTTCAGAATGGAAATATTGTATTATATTACTTTTTTTTTAAATATCCATGTCCATAACCCGAATAGTCTCTCAAGAAATATGTTAAAACTATCTACGCTTATAGAACCAACAGTTGTTCAAGACACAATTGTCGTTCTAAAATATTAAAAAAAATACGCTGTTATAACCCTAACTATTTTAAAATATCCTCGCATAAACCACTATAAACATCGTATAACATTATTAAAAATATTTAAAGAAAAATCCACATTACCAGCTCTGAAAGTCCTTAAAAAACTATCCTTCAAAAATATTCTTTAAAAATTAACGTTTATAGCTCTTACACCCCATAAAAAATATTCTTTAAAAATTAACGCTTATAGCTCTTATACCCCATAAAACATATTCTTTAAAAATTAACGCTTATAGCTCTTATACCCCATAAAAAATATTCTTTAAAAATTAACGCTTATAGCTCTTATACCCTATAAAAAATATTCTTTAAAAATTAACGCTTATAGCTCTTATACCCCATAAAAAATATTCTTTAAAAATTAACGCTTATAGCTCTTATACCCCATAAAAAATATTCTTTAAAAATTAACGCTTATAGCTCTTATACCCCATAAAAAATATTCTTTAAAAATTAACGTTTATAGCTCTTATACCCCATAAAAAATATTCTTTAAAAATTAACGCTTATAGCTCTTATACCCTATAAAAAATATTCTTTAAAAATTAACGCTTAGAAGCTCTCATAGGCGTTAGAGAATATTCTTTAAAAATTAACGCTTATAGCTCTTATACCCCATAAAAAATATTCTTTAAAAATTAACGCTTATAGCTCTTATACCCCATAAAAAATATTCTTTAAAAATCCACGCTTAAACCTCTGATAGCCCATAAAAATATTCTTTAAAAATCCACGCTTATAGTTCTGATAGTCCTTCAAAAAGTATTCTTTAAAAATCCACCCTTATAGTTCTGATAGTCCTTCAAAAAATATTCTTTAAAAATCCACGCTTATAGCTCTGATAGTCCTTCAAAAAATATTCTTTAAAAATCCACGCTTATAGCTCTGATAGTCCTTCAAAAATATTCTTTATAAATCCACGCTTATAGCTCTGATAGTCCTTCAAAAATATTCTTTAAAATCCACGCTTACAGCTCTGATAGTCCTTCAAAAATATTCTTTAAAATCCACGCTTACAGCTCTGATAGTCCTTCAAAAATATTCTTTAAAAATCCACGCTTATAGCTCTGATAGTCCTTCAAAATATTTTTTAGACATATAAAACTAATAGTCCTTCGACAGATATTTTTAAAGTCCACGCTTATAAACCTTATAGTCCTTTATTTTTTTAATCCACGCATATAAACTAGATAATACATTATTAAAAAATCCATACTGTAGCCCTGATAGTCACATTAACCTTTAAAAAAATGCGCTTATAGCTCTGATATTTATTCAAAATATATTAAAAATTGCGCTTATATCATTTTTCATTATTTCGATGCCTTCTATAGATAGTTTTTCGAGGTGTTGCCAAGAGAATGTCAAATTTAATATTTTGGAGTCAGTTGATAAGATAATCCATTGTATTTAAATTCAGGATGGTGAAGTCTTCTGTATTCCTTTTATATATTCCACTCTACTAGAGGTCCGTGATTGTAGTCTTTTGTCCAAACCCAGAGTAGAAGAATAAATCTTTACAACAATTATCAGAAAATTTCCAGTTCCATACAACACAACATCGCTCAATATCAAAAATACCACCAAATGTGTAGCCTATTATTTTTGAATTATTTATATTTTAATACTAAAATAATATTCTATGCCATAGCAAATCGTATTTATGTTTACAACTAATTACAGTATTTATTTAAAAAAAGAAAGACAACTTATAACAATACTCTATAAATATAATTATTATATGTACGTTAAAATATTACTCTTTCACCTCTGGTGCTGGTGTCTCATTCAATTGCTGTTTATATTCATCATATTGTTCCTGAGTCATAAGACTAGCCTTAATATCTTCACAATGTTCAGGTTTTGGCAGTACAATGGCTATATAATTTGCACCCTCTTCAGCTGTTAGCAAGCTTTCAGGATTATCCGAAACTTCTGTATTGACTTCAACAAGTTTGCTGCGTACACAACTTGGAATTTTATAAACTTCACCGGATTTAGTTGTCAACAGGGCCAACGTGGAATCATGTTGTAGTACCATACCACCCTTCTTTCCTTTACCTTTCACCGTATTTTTGGCCCTATCCGTTTGTCCAATATCAAAATTAAGGCTAGCAATACCTTGACTATATGCCGGATGTTCTGGTGCCAATGATATCAAACAAATACGATTTGAATGGAACAATACTTGATATGCTGATTTATCGCTACCACTTTTCTTAATGTAATAATACCGGGTAAAGAAACGATCTACAACAGAGGGATAATTGTCGACATATTCATCGGTTATGGCGCTAACTTCTTGGCCACAAATTGTCTGGGGTTCATGTTGAAAGTAATATGCGGCCAATGGATCGGTATGCATGATGTATTAGATGTTTTGTTCCTCTTCGATTAGTTTACGTTTTAGTTCGGCTTGTCTTTCACGTGCCTTAGCTCTGTTGGCAGCTGAACGAGCTATACGTTCCTGTTTCAAACACTTGACAACAGCACTATCGAATGAATTGCAATATCCCACAAATTTTCCGACTTTATGCTAGAAAAAGTAAAATTAAAATAATAAATAAATACTAAAATGTTATATAAACACAAGAAGGAATTGAAATTCCTCTGGGGAGATGTTCAGAACACTTACTTCTTCGTGACACTTTTTCAACGCCTCAATCAGTTCGTTGCAGTGTGGTGTATGAAGATGTGGCGATAAATCTGTGTGCATTTTTTATTCAGGTCCACAAAAGGGTTATTATGCCTTAGAACCGGCAGCTAGTCTATAAAAGTTCGGAAATGTTTCAATGTTTTTAGAATTGCTGCTTCTTTCTAGCCATTTGTCTAAAACGTGTAAAATAAACAGAAATGTTAGCATGCTCAGCTGTTGTGCGGTGATTTGATTAGTGCAAGACGTAACGTAAACGTAACTTTCGACAAGACTTCTTACAATTGTTATACAGTGAACCACATAATTTTAAAGATGTGTGACTACATACGAAAATATATGTCTAATAAAGGAACAAGTTTAGTTTAGGTCCCGGTCGCGGATCTTTTTGACATTTTTACAATAGGTAGTCCTTGAGGCCCTGATTAAAACGATACAATGTTCTTGCGGCTATGAGCATATAAATTTTACTAAGGGAATATGGGTATTATCTTAATGCGCTTGAAGTTCTGATTATAAAAATTTAATTTTCTTATCGAACAAGTCCATACTTCCTGAGATATGGGACTCAAATTTGTAATTAGGGCTTCAACTGCTTTAAATCGATAACCTAACTTCGTGTATATATTAAGGATAGAATTTTAAGATACTCTAAATCGGTCGAGAAACATACATGGGGTTGTGTGAAAAAATTGACCTACAATGTAATTTGGGCGCCAGGAGATTTTTTAAGGACACTTTGGTGAGGGAGGATTTTCAACATGCCGAAAATGTGTCGGATCTTTGATCTTAGACATTTTGAAATATAGCGGTATTTATATGAGCGGAATTAGAAATTATTTTCAGATGTTCAATTTTACTGTAGGATGATGTATAATTTAAATGGGCGTAGTGTATTTACACTTTAGTCCCTCACTGTATATATATTTTTTCTATTATCCGAATTGCATTTAAGTAACCAATAACCATACCGCACGTTACACGTGCCTGGCGAACAACATCAAAAACAAAATATAAACAAACAGCTGATTTGTAAAACGTGTTTGAAAAACAAAAACGGGAGGAAGAGTTCCCTTAAAAAGTATTTTAGTGCATTATTAAATTAAAAACCACAAAATGTCATCCAGCAAACGTAAAAATCTGAATGCCATGGAAGAAGATCCCAGTGATTCGGATTCAGAAACATCTAGTGATGATGATGAAGATAATGGTCCCCATCCTGATGCCTATACAGGAAATGAGGTTTGTTTATTTATATTCATATTAACTAGAAGTCAGGAACTGACTATTCAAATTGTTCTGTAGGAAGTTCAAATCGATTTTGAAGGGCGGGCCCCTGTTGATCCCGATTGTCATGGCATTTCTCAATTATTGCAAAGAGTTTTTCTTAAGGCTCATATTAATACCATGCAAATGGCTGATATGATTATTGGTGAGTATGGACAAATTACACGGATTTTGAAATCTATAATAACATTCTTGGGTTTTTGTTCTTTTTAGCCCAAAACTTTGTTGGCAGTGTAATTTGTCAATGTGACGATGGCATGGAAAGCGATGCTGATGATATGTGTGAAGACGGTACCATTTTCGGTATTACAACAGTTCTTAATATTACCGCCAAGAAAAATGCTCCCTGCATTGATCAATTCCGCTCCTTTATTGTACAAAAGGCTGAAAAACATGCCCCCGATTCTGTGCTTACACATTTCCGTGATGTACTTGGCAATGAAGCTAGACCCATAGGGTATTTGATCAATGAACGTTTTATAAATATCCCAGCTCAAATATCAGTACCACTATTGGAAAGTCTATATAAGGAAATTAACGCAGCCAAACAAAAGGGAATGCCATTTAATTTTGTCTATTTCCTAATGATCATTAAATTCTATCGTAAAGAAGCGAAGAAGGGTAAACCAAAAGAAGATACCTATACTAATGCAGAGGAGGAACTGATTGCCACAAATGCAGTAAATTCATTTGAATACTCGGTGGCTGATGAATGTGATATGGGCATGTCGGGTGATTGGTTAGAAGGTGATGCTAATTTGACACCTTATCGGAAAGTTGTATTGTTCGATGCAAAACATTTGCCACAACTAATACTCGATATACAGAAATATATTAATGGAGAATAAATTACCTTCGGAAGATAATAACAACTTGTGAGATATACATACTTTGAATATGTATAAATGTATTTTTTTAATTTTTTAAGATTTAATAAAATAAAGTGAAATGACTAAATTTGAAAATAATATATATTTTAAAATTTGTATTTTATTGGTGACAACTGAATGAAGCATTTGTATTCACGATTGACTTAATGTTTCTTCAAAACTTATATCAAATTCGATAATAGGGAATATCGGTCCACCCCTTCTGGGTCCTCCCCCACAAAATAGTCAACAAAATTGCAGAGAAATAAATGTTTAATGTCAAATGAATTCAGCTACATCCTTAAAATTGCAAATGGGTTCATTTCACAACATGAATCAAAATTTTAATATTTGAAGCTTTGGCTTCGAATTGCATTTTTTTGAAATAAATAAATCAACAATAAAATTCATGGTACAAAACTCATGTATACAAAGTAGGTATCTTTTATGTCTAATGAACAGATCGGCATTTGTTCATTTTCATTTATTGTGGCAGTATAGGCGATAACATAGAGGTGTATTTTTTCTTTGTTGACAAAACATACCCTGTCTTGTATAATTGTAATACCAGTCTGACATCAGACTTTTACCACATCAACTGGTTAAATATGAAATATACATGTTATAATTTTTATATTTGTTTGCAATTTTTTCTTATTCTAAGTAGGTAAATTCCCTAATTTTTATATTTGTTTGCATTTTTTTCTTATTCTAAGTAGGTAAATTCCCTAATTTTTATATTTGTTTGCAATTTTTTCTTATTCTATGTAGGTAAATTCCCTTTATCTATAGGATAAGGCGATTTATTTGCATTTGTTGTCATTAGTAATAGGAAATGTCCCTTAATTTATAATATAATACTTTTAAATGCCTCATGAACTCATTTTTGCAATGTTTTAGGCAACTGCCTCAGCTAGTTAAACATAACCTATAGGTTTCTATTTTTTTAATGTCTTCTTATTCTTATAGGTAAATTCCCTTCTTTTGATTTTGTTGTCATTAGTAATATGATAGGTTAAAGTAATTTAATTATGTATATATTTTGAAAACATCTGCAAATATAATTGATATTTTTTGATGTTTTCTTCTAAAGTCAATTAATCTGAGGAGATATAGAATGGTTATCATTAACATTTAAAATATATAGAGTAAGGGCTCCCAAAACAAATAGCTTAGGTTAACTATTTTATTATATAAAAATAGGGTGTAACATAATATTGGGCCTATCACAAAAATTTAATACCCGAAAAGAACCTAACATTTGTAGACACAACCAATACAAAAAATGGGTGTTTTGTCGAAGTGAAAACTAAATCAAGATTGATACTTTTTGATAGGGAGATTTGCTACACCATGATGAAAACCCAAAAGTTATTGCCAATTCGGTTAAAAAACGTGCCCAAGATACCTATATTTGGGGCATCAGTATGTATAGTCTACTCGGAAACCTGAACCCATACTTATACGGCGATTTGCTTCCCAACGAACATGCCAAATTACAAATAATTCAGTTGATAAACTAATACTACTCAAATTTTGAGAAAAAAAATTGGCGAAGTGAAATATAAAATAACCAGTAAGTGAAGCAGAATAGCCGGATGATACCTTAAACAACCGAACCGAATGTACAAATAAATATTTTAGAAAGTCTAAGAATTTTCACCGAAAAAAAATAAGTTTAGAAAGTCCACACCTATTTGTGATCCTTAAAAAAATGTAAAAAATCCACACATATTTGTGGTTCCTTAAAAATAATATAAAAAGTCAACGCCGATGTGTAAAAAGTCAACGCCGATTTTTTAATGAATTCACGCCTGTGTGTGGTTCCCGAAAAAAACTTTTTTAAAGAATCCACCAAATATAGGCGGTTTTTAAAGAATCCACCTCTTTATGTAGTTCCTTAATCCAAGCCTTAATGAAATCCCTGATTTTTTTTAATTGAGACTTTTCTGCGATTTATAAAAAAAATATAAAAATTCACGCCTATATTTATTTTCTGAATAATTTATGTTTTTTAACAATCATGGCCATGAAATAAGTAATTTTAAAAAATCTCGGCTATATGGTCTCTATGTGTGGCTAATTTTTGATGCTCGAAAAAAATTAAAAATCCACGTCCATATGCTTCCCTTGAAAGAATTTTTTAAGCATTTACCTTTGTTATATTGGATTTTTCTCTTTAATCAAGAACTACCAAATCATTTCTGCTGATTTTTTTTTTTTTAAATCTAAGATGCCATAGTAAGAAGAGGAGCTGTTAGCCTGTAGTCTGTCAAGAGGGCCCAAATAGCGATATAGATCCACAGAAAGTAATCGGCGCGGTACGACTAATCTGCTCCGTTCATTTGTTTTTAAGATACGAAAGGTGTTTTCATTTTAAATAAACATTTGAATAATATCGGCCGAACAAATTTCAAACTGTGGCGGATGCGAGTCCATTTGACTCCCAAAATATTGATTTGATTATCATGAAAAGAGTCAAGCTTGTTTCTTGATCATATTTTTCATTCTCCGTGTAAAGTTTAGTTTCTTTTGTATGGGGCCAATAACTGAATATATATATATGTTCTATGCTATGTCCATATTTTGCCTTACCTTGAATATAACGACATTTTTCTATAACGAACAAATTTGCTTGGCCCCTACTAGTTCGCTATAACCGTACTTCCCTGTATTTGGATTTTAATTGATACCATTATACTTATATTGATTTTATAAAACATGCCACCATGAGAAAAATCATCGCCAATAACCACGGAAATAACAATAAATAACATTCGAATTCGTTTAAAATATAGATGTAATATGGAAACGTTAATGACTGTAAGGTATCATATTAAGTTATTTTTTTACTGTTTGTATAATTATTTGTTATTTTTATCATAAAAAATTAAGAAATCCTCATCCATCATTATTTTTTTACAGCATTTCAAAATGTTAACATTGTGGGTGTATCGTACTATACATTTATAACAAAATTAGTATAACAGTTTCGATGTAGGGCTAATATCGGAGTACATTGTTTTATTAGAGTGAAATAAAAATTCTAAGTAATTCGGAATATTCGTAATGAAAAACAGACAAATAAAATATTGAGTATTTATTTTTTAAATATTAATAAAATATATTGCTGATTTGCATAAATTCTTTGTTATATTAACGTTTACGTTATACGTCATCATTTAAGATGAACTATAACAGTTCATTAGTGTTTGTCATTCTCTGTTAAATCAGCTGATTTTTGTTTTTATCGGTAACCGGCAATTTTCGCATACACACATAACACGAACGTATGAACATATGTGTGTGTTTGTTGTAGCATTTATTTATAACGTGTTTGCCAAACAAAAGATACCAACAGCAAACAATCATTCGTCTATTTGTAATTTATTCTTATTGTTTATTTTTTCTTCTGTGCTTCAACAAAGAAATTACTCACTGGCCTGACTGTCATTAGCATTGCATTACAAGTGTTATCAGTAACTTACAACTATCCTAGTATAAAGGCAGCGTATTGGCCATTGTTTTGGAACACTTGGCAAAGTAGGTGATAAGCAGCAGCTACTACTATAACGCGTATCGAGATTAGTTGTTGTTCTTCTTTCGTTCGTACGTTTTGCTGTCAGTCAGTCAGCAGGCCAGCTAGCCGACGACATTCATACATATAAGCAGGCGAAAGAAAAAAATTCACATCACTGCAATTTCACTTCCAGTTGCTGTTGCCATTAGATTCATTCAGTTACTTTCGAGTTATTGGCTTGTTCGGAACACATTGTGGTCTGTGCTCATACGGTTACGGTTGCATTGTAAAGATCAAGTGAAAATTCTTCTTCAAAACCCTCTCAAAAATGGGACTGGACAAGTAAGTATATATACAAATATTTCTCTCTTACCAAAAAAGTTTATATAATTTACAAACAAGTAAAAACAAATTGTGTTCTCTTGCTAACCCCAATTTCGTCGTTTTGTTTGTTGTTAGAGCAGAGATATTTGCTTTTTTTATAGAAACACGAGACTTAGAATAACATCAGTGCAAACGTAGCTGGAATTGTTAAAAATAAATACGAATACTTGTTGGTCAAAACAAAATATTGGAATGTTAATTATTGTAATATATATTCTTGAAAGATTTGTGAATTTATAATGTTTATTAAGATGGGACGGGGACTTATGGCCTCAACAGTGTATTTTTGGCGTTTTTTAGACAAAAAAGTGGTATATTAAGTTAACCACTAAATAAACAAATATTTTCCTTGAAAATGTTTAACTATTAATTTAAATTGGAACAGGGCACGTTACAATTAATAATACCACACAAAAATTAACTTACGTTAAGTAACGTCGTTTTACTTTCCGTATTTAATGATAGGAATTTTTATTTTGTTTTTTTGCAAAATAGTCAGGCTGAATCCCAGTTTGTTGTTTTTATAAAAAAACAACAACTATTTATTAGTGGTGAAAGTATGGCATTGTCCGCCGAGGGGTAAGGCAGGGAAGACTATAGTTTCGGATCTCGCCACTGATACTCATCAGTTCCCTTAGTTTTTTGTTGAGATATTCTCCCCAGAAGCTATTTATTGCTTCTTGCCTCTTTTTTCAGTTTAAATACAAATAATAGGACTAATGGTGTTGAACTTAGGGGAGGAGGTATCTATGCTTTATTTTTAATTTTAATTAGACATGTAAAAATCTGAATACTTTAAATTGGTTTGAATTAATTTAAATTAGTATAAATTAAAATAAATGCCGAGGTCGAATACCTGTTATGAAATTTTTACTATACGTAGTTCTTGGACCCTGATAACAACGCTATATATTTCTTGCTGAAATTCATATTGCCTTAGATGTGAACCTCCAAAGTTCAGCTGGAAAACTTATACTTTTCCCATACTTTTTACTATAAGTAGTTCTTGGATCCTGATTACAACGCTATATATTTCATGCTGAAATTCATTTATGATATATGAACCTCCAAAGTTCAGTGAGAAAACGTATGCTTTCCCCATACTTTTTAAAATTCACTAATGCAATATGGACATGAATTTAAAAGGGTTGAAGTGTTGATTTAAAAATGTAATTATTTTTATCGATGAAGTTCATAATATTTGATTAAAAATTCTGTGGCATATCCCGTATTGGCATCTTATACCTAAATCCTTGGATGGGCCGCCACTCACAAAAATTGTTATATTTAAAAGGAGATTCTCTCGCGAAGCCATTGCAGCACGTCTTTAATCCCCGGTCAAACGACTGCCAACTATTATATATTTATATTTAAATGGAAATACGGTCGAATTTTCAGTTAAATACTATAGATTTTATAGGAGGCAGTCGTTCGACCGGGGATTTAAGACTTGCTGCAATGGCTACGCGACAGATTCTCCTTTTAAGTATAACTTATATATATATATATATTGAAAACAATTTTTTCTTCATATAGCTATTATATATTTGACTTTTCCTGGGTTACATTAGGTAATTTAACCCATGGCTGGCTGTTGAGACACTCTTTTGATCATACTCACCGTTTTAATTATTTAACCACCTTGTCCAACCGAGGCATTTCGTGTTTTTGGAGGATGAAAAACACATATCCAGGAAATGTGCGATACTCCGCCTTATTATATTTATTTTAATAATCTTTTTTGTAATTCTTCAGAATTACCGTTTTGCGGAAATTTTAAAAATTTGTTGTTCATGTATAAACTTCTCGTCCCATTTTCGGTATTTTGAAGGTCCTAGATGAATTTGAAGGTCCTCCCTGCACACAATTTATATGCTATCGGCATTTTAGGTTTTTTTAATAGGTATATAAAAGTTTGGCATAACATACGTATCGTTGTTTTCTTTTGGTGTAGGATAATTCGGGCATTTTGACTTTTTATATATTATTTTTACCACTTAAATTCGTTCTACTTTTAAAACGATTGAGATCCACCTTTCCTCACTAGCAATTAGCTAGCATATCCTACATTGTTTTATCTGCTTTATATACATATTATGTATTTTTTCATTTACAGAGAAATTAATTATGAACAATTAACAGCCATAAAATAATTTCTTATTTTTGTCATACGTATGATAATTGTTTAATATTTTTTGAAAATTATTAAAATTAATTCACATTATTAAATTAATTCGCTTTAATGGCATATGAATTCAATTTGGTTTTGATATAATATATAAAGATCAAAAACGTGTCGAATTAATTGGTCTAAGCGCATTTGTAAATTAAATTATAGCTGAGGCAAATTTAGTTCTTAAGCAAATTTATTTAAGCAACAAATAAATAATAATTGTGTGCCTATTTAAATTTTTGCTATCAATACCTTTTTGGTCAGTTAACCAAATGCAAATGTGCATTACACATTTAATGATTCGTAATTAAATGTGAAATTAAATTATAAAATACCATATAAATTTGCTCTGTCATCTGCATTCAAGAAGAATGTCACCTACTTTTCTATGAATATAAATTTCCCTTCCATTACAAGCAGTTAGCTTAAAAGATCTTACTACTTTATCTACATCTCAGATATATAGGTTCTTTAATTTTATTACTTAGAGTATTTTTAGGCATATTAGTGCAATCGTATAATTTATAATATAAATAAAAAATCTCTTTTAAATTAATTGTAATTAATTCCCCACAAATAAATTTGTTTGTCGTATAATTAAATAAACTACAAAAGCGTGCCGAATTAATTGATCAAAGCGCAGTTGCAAGTCATGTTTATACTATAGCTGCGAACAATTTAATTCATAAATACATTTTATAGTATTTCTACTTGGCGGCGGCGTATCTTGTTACAAACAATTTGCTTTCTTTTTGTATTTTATTTCTTCTTTGCCCAAGTTCTTTTGTATAGCCCCAGACTGTATTGGACAGTACTCATATTTCCTTATTTAAAGTCAAGGTTAGTTTTGTTTACATTTTGTAAATGAATGGCAACAACAACATCGAACCCATCAACGTAATAACTGAATATGGTAATAAAATAAATTAATGGCAATATAAAAAGAAGCAATTTAATCAATCATTTGCATGTTTATAATAATAAATAAAAATATATATGTAAATGCGTATTTACGCAGTTCATCTTTATTTATTATATAAACTGTGGGTTATTTTACATAGTTTTATATGCAATTCTTTGTTATTATAAGTAGGTAATTTCCCATAATTAAAAATGGAGAGAGATTTATATGTATTTGTTTTTCATTGGTATTAGGTAATTTCCCTTTATTTAAAACAATAATTTTTTTTCCAACAAGTACCATCTATTTATATAATATTTTTTTGCCTTCATTAGTAATGGGTAATTTCCCTTATTGATAATAATTCAATTCCATCCATATATTTTAGTAATATATGATCTATATAGCTTTAAGATACAATTGAATTTGGTTTGAAGTTTGTTTAGGATGCATTTTATAATACGAAGTACTGGTTTATATTTTGTTGATATGTTGCGATATTTATTGGCCAGATGGCGTTTTCGTTGCAACGAATAAACAAATCGAATACCAAATTTATCTCTATACTCATTTTGGTACCACTTATTACCTTTCGCACTCTTGTAATACTTATTTCCAAAACTAATTCCAAATTTCATGATTCGACCTATATAGGTTCACCCAAATCTTAATTTTACCAAATTTGCTTCACACAAATCCAATAGAAATTATATTTCCCAATTTCAGTATTCCGATCGTTTCACTTAAATATAATTGTACCAAATTTAGTACCATTTTGTATAAATTTCCAAAAATTCCTACATAGCCAAAGCCTGTACCCCAACAGTGATCCTAACTTTAAATTTCAAGATCCCAACTCCATCGGTTCACCAAAATCCACAAAACTTCCTACATATCCCAATCCTACACCTCAACAATGATCCTAACTCCAAATGTCAGTGTTCCAGCTCTATTGATAAACCTAAAAAATGTATCAAATATAGTATCATTTAGTACATATGGTACCACATTTAGTACTTTTCGTGCATTTCCAGCCTTATCTGACAACTTTGGACAAAGAGTGACCATCACCACAAATTTAAAGATTTTAGCTTCAGTCGTCAACAATGGATTCATGAAAAGTGGATACAATTTTTCAACCATGTCTGTACGAATCTTTTAGAACTTATTTTTAGAGATCTCGCTTAGTTTAAATACAGCTATCAATATTTAACTAGTTATTCTGGCTGTATATCGTTTCCTGGAGCCCCGATAATTCATATTTGTACTTTTAATAAAAAAACAATAAACGATTTTGGGAAATATATTTCAGAAGCCGAACTCAATCCAATATAGTTGTGTAGGGTATAAAAAATTGTAAAATCTATTATGATTAAAAAAAATATTGTAATAAAAAATATCTTTAGTATCTCTCCAAATACGTCAACGGAATTTATAACAGATTATGAAGTACTACTCTTTCATTATCATGCCTTCCCATCGGGTGTTAGCGATTGTATCGACATATTTAATTTTCTTAAACAATAAATAAGATAACCAACAGAAATTTATGACATTACATACAATATAAAACATATTTACAGCTTTGTTTTGCTTTGATACAACATTGTAAATTAATGTAGTTAAATTTTTTTTTATTATTTCTATTTTATTTGTAATAGTTCATAAATAATAGTTTTAACTAATTCAAACAATTCATGAATCCGCTCATTTGTTCAAAATTTCCAATTGATATTGAGGCGTATTTTAGTTGTTATCAATAATGTTTGTTTGTACTAAAATAATTCTTTACTGCTATCAGTTGTTGGTCGTTCAACTTTCATTTGTTGGAAATATGTTTTCGTTTAATTGAAAAATGAAATACTCCGAACTACAATATTTATTGCATTGGATATAAAAATCAAAACAAGATAACGCCACAATTGCATTGCATTTTATTTTTAGTATTGCAATTCGCTTTTATATGGTTCTGCAGTGAAATCTGTTGGTTTTTGGTTATTTTTTCTGTTTATTATATACAATATACATATAGGTATATTTTTATTTTAAGATCTGATAACTCTAATCTATGACAATCGTGTATAATATTATAAATTGTCAACTGCTGATAGCTTATCTAAAGTCTAAAACGCCGGCTTTTGTTGTTTATGTTGTTTAATAGGCAAAAAAAGAAAAGTGTAAAATACTTAGAACTAGAACATGTGATAAGTGAAATGGAAGATAACCAAGTAACATTAATCCCGCCAATATTCTTAAATTGCTATATATATACATTATTTTTAATAAACTAATTTCCTCCACTTCATCCTTTCACAGATTAATACCATGCACAGTCCAAGTGGCTAAGATGATACAAAAATCTGGCTGTGATGTTCTCTGCATCATTGACCGTCAAATTCCCACGGAATTGGTTGAACAATTCAATGAATTCCGTTCATTCGATAAGGCATTCGACAGTGTGGTTTCATGCTTTAAATCGCAAAAATTAAATTTACCAGTGGTCTATTCACCTGTACCAGAATTGAGCGATTATCATGATGTGCGTACCTATCAACAGGCTGCTGCAAAATCACTGCAGAGAGCCATAAAGGCTGGTTTCAAATCTCCCTTGCTGCTGATACCCGAAAGTAAAAAGTTTAGAAATGTTGAATTATGTACCGTTTTGGGTGCTTTGGAAGAACTTTATGTGGTAAGTTGTAGATTGATTGTTGTTAAATGCATTTTTTTATAACATCCTTTTTTATTCTTCCAGCCCATTCAATTACGTGAAGATGTACCAGACAAAAGTAAACGCATTGAAAATTTATCTGTTTTGATTTCAAGCCCCAAAGCAGAAGAAATTGTTAAGGAAGCCTTGGTTTTGGAATCTGGCCGATATGTAGCTCGTGATATTGGTAAGTATTATGTTATAGGGTGTAATATTTACAAACTGAGAACAGGTTAAAAGCAACTCTTCTCAAAACTAGATCCTAAAAGTATGCTATATAATTTAGGTTATAAAATATTTTACACATTGTGGATTGATTATTGTGTTTAGAAGAATATCGACAGGAACAGCGAGAACCAAGACCAATTTAAAGTTACGAAATTTCTTATATTGAACCATTCTTAAATGCCCCCTCTTCCAGATCCAGTAAGAATTTTAACGTTCACTTATTATACTCTCCATTATATTATTTTTGTCATTCTGGTAAATAATTAAATTTGGCATACCATTTGCAAACACCTCGAAATATTCGTCATATATAAAATATTTTTATATTCTTGATTAGAGCAAAAAATGTATGTCAGTTTAACCATTTTTGCTGTCTGTTGATATTTAGTTTTGAAATTTTGCTCCTAGATTTCAACTATTTTGCCTTATTTTTCAAACGAAGTGACTACTATTCCTCATTCCTGACTCTTTAGGGTATAAAACCTCCTTCGCTAACACTTTACAATATAAGTTAATATTTTGACATAGACTCATATAACTGCCTCATTTACGGCGTTTTGAAGGTTTCACTCACATTTTTTAATCAAAGTGGCTGTAAATTGAAAAAATATCCTTGCAGAAAATATTCGATGTAGGTCCATAGGTCCCCCATATATGGGACCAGCGCATGGCAGGCGCATTTTTCCAACTAAAGTGACTGTTATTTCTTGATGTTTTTACATACCCCTCATACAAAGGACTCTCGCCATTTTAGGCATTTCCATAGTCGCATTTTCCAAACACATTTGTATACATTTTGTGAAGACCCCCATATTATGGGCCTGACAGCTAAAATTATCGGCGTATGAGAGAGCTTTTATTTTTTAAATCGTATTTTTCAAGGAGTATCAGATAGCGTAGATTTTTTAATTACTATTTTTCAAGGAGGAGAGCGTAGATTTTTCAAATCATATATTTTAAGGATTATACTCCTTAGACTTTTATTCCTATTTTTCTATGAGTATTATAGAGGGTAGATTTTTAAAATAATATTTTCAATGAGTATCAGGGAGTGTAGGAGTTGTAGATTTAGCAAATATTTTTCAAAGAGTACCAGAGAGCTAGACTTAACTAATATTTTTCAAAGAGTATTAGCGGTCTTAGATATTTTAAATCACATTTTTCATTTCATTTTTTAAATCACATTTTTCAAAGAGTACCAGAGAGCTTCGAGTTTTAAATTACATTTTTAAGGAGTACCAGAGAGCCTACTTTTTTTAAATCATATTTTTCAAGGAGTACCAGAGAGCTTCGAGTTTTAAATCACATTTTTAAGGAGTACCAGAGAGCCTACATTTTTTAAATCTTATTTTTCAAGGAGTACCAGAGAACTTCGAGTTTTAAAATCACATTTTTAAGAGTATCAGAGATCGACATTTTTTAAATCATTCAAGGACTACAGAGAGTCGTCGTCTTAACAAATGCTAACATAAGAAAAACTTTAAATTTATTGTAGGATAGATTTCCTCAAGAGTGCAATCTATATACCAGGAACTCGATATACAAACTAATATAAATTTTATTGAATATTTTAATTTACCTTCATTTCTATTTCTACTATTAAACATTTAATTATCCAATTTTTTACTTTCCATTAGGTGTTGGCGATCCCGAACGTATGGCTCCACCACGTGTTGAAGAATATGTAACAAAATTATTCGATGGTCTCAAGGTAACGGTTATTAGTGATGTCGATACAATTACCAAGGAATATCCGCTATTTGCTGCCGTTAATCGTGCTGCCAACTCGGTGAAACGTCATCAGGGACGTATTATCTTCCTTGAATATTTGCCACCACAACCTGCCAAGAAGACCTTGATGTTGGTCGGTAAGGGTGTTACTTATGATACTGGCGGTGCTGACATCAAAGCTGGTGGCATTATGGCTGGTATGTCACGTGATAAGTGTGGTGCAGCAGCTGTTGCTGGTTTCATGCAGGTTAGTAGATAAATTTTAATCCAACAAATTACTATAGAAATCATCAATTTTTTGTGTGTTTTTTCAGATTGTCAAGGAACAAAAACCAGCTGATGTCCATGTCATTGCTGCCCTGTGTATGGTCCGCAATTCTGTCGGTGAAGAATGCTATGTTTCCGATGAGGTTATCACATCCAGAGCTGGTGTACGCGTACGCGTCGGTAACACTGATGCCGAAGGACGTATGTGTATGGCTGATGCCTTGTGTCGTATGAAGGAAATTGCTGTTTCGGAAAATTTGCCTGATCCACATCTCTTCACAATTGCTACATTGACCGGCCATGCTTTTGTTTCGGCTGGTGAGGGTTATTCCATCATTATGGATAACAGTGTTGCCCGTGCCGCCGATCATGCACGTAAATTGCAAGATATTGGCACCTCATTCGGTGAACCATTTGAAGTTTCAGTTATACGTCAAGATGATTTCGATTTTAATAACGGCAAAGTTATTGGTGAAGATATATTGCAGTGCAACAATATACCATCGACTCGTACGCCACGTGGTCATCAAGTACCAGCTGCCTTCCTTATGCAGACGACTGGATTGGATAAGCATGGTTTGGATGCTGAGAAACCATTGAAATATACCCATTTGGATATTGCCGGCAGTGCTGGTGAACATCCAAAGATGCCAACAGCTGCTCCTATTATTGCATTGGCAAAGGCCCATTTATCTTAAACTTGATCTTTTATGGGATTTGAATGAAATAATGTGTTTTTTACTACAATTTTGGTAAATTGTATTGTTTTCTTTTTTTTTTGCTATCCTTTTTTTTGTATTTTTTAAGTATTACTGTTTTAAAATAAATAAAACAAACATCACTATAACCACAAAATGTGTTTTATTTAAAAAATGTAGCATATAGTTTGGGGATAGAGAATAAAAGAAGCGCCTGAAAGTATGCTTTAGAATTTATTATACTATAACGACCGGCATTTTTCAGCCTTGGCAGTGCGATTTTCAATCATGTCATTCAACCGACATATACTTACTGTTCTGTTCTGGGCGCCTATTCCCTCAAAATGAAAATACACACAAAAATCGGTTTTATAAAAATGGAAATATTTTTTTCTTTGCCCAACCATCATGAATGAAAATGTCCCTTTTTAAAACATCAATTTTTGTGAGGTTTTTCGTTTTCAGGTAATAGGCGACCAGCACCGACCGGTAGGTATATTTGGGAACAGCATTCAATTCAAATGCAAATAACTCAGCGACTACTTAACCGATTTTCATAATTTTTTCACGAATGGTTCGAGGGAATTCTTAAGTTTTATTCCATATTGAGAAAATATATAAAAACTTATGTTATATAAGAAAAAAATAGGGTTATGTGAAAGTTAAAAGTTATTTGAAATATCGATTATTTTTTTGTAAAATGTAAACAACGTAGACAATATTTTTGTTTGATTTAAACGATGCCCCCGCTATAAATAAAATACATTTTTTACTTGTTATTATTTTATTTTATATTTTCGTTTTTAATATAAAAATATACAAATTAAAATCAAACATTTTATTTATTAGTATGTAATTTTCTATTTGTCCTAATTCGAAGTTGGAGTCAAATCGTAGCATCAATCTGTAATGAAAGTAAAAAAATTATAACAGATTATTAAAATATTTTTAATGATAAAATTAATGTTAAAATTAATAGATGAATAAAATTTCAAGGATATTATTAATAAGAGCGTACTTTTTAAAATTTATTATAAATAATAATAATAATAATTTTAATTAATACTTTCGAAACATATCAGAGCGTAATTTTTTTAAATATTTTTCAGAGATAATAATCAAGAGATAGATTTTTTAACTATTTTTTTTTTGAGAGCGTAGATTTGTTAAATAACATTTTTCGAAGAGTATTAGTTAGTTATAATTTGTTCAATACTATTTTCAGGGTGTATAAGAAAATGTAATAAAATAAAACTACTATTTTTCAAGGGGTATATCAGGAAGTCTCGATTTTTTAGTACTAATTCTTCAAGGGGTATAATTTTAAATATTATTTTTCCCGGAGTATCAGAGAATAGATTTTTATACCCTTTACCACACTGTGGTACAGGGTATTATGTCTTTGTGCATATGTTTGTTACAGGCAAAAGGAAACGAGATAGACACAGGGTTCCTTTTGAGAATATCACTTTCTAAATCGATTTATCCCGTCCGTCCGTCTGTCTGTCCATGTTAAATTGTAAACAAAGTACAGGTCATTTATTTGGCCCAAGGACGAACCCTATTGAAATTGGGAAAAATCGGTTCAGATTTAGATATAGCTCCCATATATATTTTTGTCCGTTTTAAGCTATATGGTGCACCAAAGTCCCTATAAATCTCTTGATTTGCACGAAATTTGGCACAACGTTAAGAATAAGGTCTAGAATGATGTGTGTTAAGTTTCATGAAAATCGGTTCAGATTTAGATATAGCTCCCATATATATTTTCGTACGATTTAAAGTAAATGGTGCACCAAAGTCCCTATATATCTTTCGATTTGCACGACATTTAGCACAGCGTAATGAATTAGGTCTAGAATGATGTGTGTTACGTTTTCTGAAAATCGGTTCAGATTTAGATATAGCTCTCATATATATTTTCCTCCGATATAATGTAAATGGTGCAACAAAGTCGATATATATCTTTCGATTTGCACGAATGATGTGTGTTAAGTTTCGTGAAAATCGGTTCAGATTTAGATATAGCTCCTATATATTTGTTCTTCCGATTTTATGTAAATTGTGCATTAAAGACCCAAGGTTTGTCCGATTTTGTGCAATGAATTGTAGTTAATATAAGTTAATCTCTGGCAAGTCTCATTGAAATCGGTTTAGATTTTGATATAGCGTCTACATATACATTTTCGTCCGATTTTACACAAAATTGACACAAATTTTGCACAACGTACTGAAGTTAGTATAACCTAGAAATTGAATATAAATGCTTCTGCAAGGTGGGTCCAATCGGCACAAAATTTTGCACTACGTACTGAAGTTACTATAACATAACGTGTGGCAAGTTTTAGTTGAAATCGAGTTAGAGTTAGATATAGCTGCTATATATAGTTTCGTCAGATTTTAAGTAAAAGGTGCACCAAAGGCCCAAAGATACGCCGTTTGCTACAACATTTTGCACAACGTACTAAACTTAGTATAACGTACCGTGTGCTAAGTATTGTAAGAATCGGTTCATTTTTAGATATAGCTCCCATATATAGTTTCGTCCGATTTTAATTAATTGGTTCACCAAAGACCCAAGGTAGGTAGGCCGATTTACACAACATTTTGCCAAACGTACTGAAGTTTATATAACCTAGCGTGTGGAAAGTTTTGAAATCGGTTCAGATTTGGATAGAGCTCCTTCCTATATATATGTTCTCCCGATTTTAAGTACATGATGCACCAAGAACTCAAAATGTGGCCGATATGCACAAAACATACTGAAATTAGTATAACATAACCAGTGGCAAGTTTTGATGTAATCGGTTTCGATAGTGGTTTCCCAAAGTGGTGAAGGGTATCATAATGTCGGCCCTACTACTTTCCTTACTGGTTTATAACATGGGAAATGAAACTAACACCGGGAAACATAGTTAAATTTCAATGCGTCATTGTGAAATCGAAAAAATGATTTTTTTTTTAATGAAACCAAATGAATTACTTTAAAAAATGAATGATTTTAAAAATTATAGATTACATTTTTCGATGCTAAACGAGTTTAAAATGTGCTAAATTTAGCACTAAAAGTGCTAAATTGGCAACACTGCTGGTGAGTAAACAACATCTGTGCTGAAGATATCATTATTGTACCATATTTTGACATAGCCTCCATATAAAGAATGAATGAATTGGCTACAAATTTCAATATACATAGGTCCACATAAAGTTCCTACATTTTGGGGATAATAAAGGAATTTTCCAAAATAGGTGTCTCTACTTTTGAATTTCGTCTTCTTAGAGGATAAAAAAGCTCCTGGCAGACAAATGTAACTGATATTGACCTCAAAAAAGTTCATATACTCTCAATGATTCAGATAGATAATTGTGATATTCGTCCAAACAACTGCAGTAGTCTTGTCAGCAAGACGAAGAAGAACAACAACTTGAACATTTAGTAATAACCGGCATTTAACTGAAAATATACCCCGTATCAAAGAACGGCATATGATGATGATGCAATGGCAACAGGAATGAGACACTCTTGACCGACTTTTTTGTGTGTGCAGTTAAACTAAAAACTAACGGTTCAGGTGACCGAGCTAGCCACAAATGCAATGGGTTCTGGCAGCTAGCTATTGGCAAAACTGTTTCTATTTTTTATGATCTTTGTTTTTTACCTTTTTCCTTCTTAACTTTCCACTAGAGCAAGAACAGCAACAACAACAATGCAGGCTAAGAGAAATGCTCATAGATGGGTCTACATGGTGCTATAAATTATGCACTTACTGGTCAGTAAAGTTAAGTCAAATCGAATTGTTTGGTTTAAGTATGGGTTCCCGACGCAAGTTTACACATTGTCAGTCTTGTTCTGGTTGTTAGGTATAGGTTTTTTCATTTTCTCCTGTGGTTAAGTAAATACTAAGTATGCGGGAAGAGTATAGCTCCCACAACTAGGGTGGTACGAACGAACCGACGAACGAACGCACGACTGCATGAATGAATGAAGAATGGGTACAGCAGCAATGTTGTTCTTTTTTTGCATACACCGATATATTTCAATGCGGGTTTACTGCATTTCTAAATGTAAATTTGTTGTAGTTGTTGTTGTTGCTACTGGTGGCACAATTATAGTATATATTCTTCTTCTATAAATTGTTGTATTGACTTGTTGTTGGACAGACGACGTCTTGAATACGGCCGGCCATATAATTATGCAGTGACTTTGACAGCCAACAAAAGGAAAGAATGAACGTTTGGCGCAAAAAAAAGTACATCTGCCATGGACTCATTCACGTACAAACATTGTGATGGAAGCATTATACTCTGCAAACGATTTCTTTCTAACTGGGTTTACATGTAAATAGTGGACATTCCTTTATGTTTGACCTAATAACGGTTTATGCGATATTGTTGTTCAATTGCATGAAATGGAACGACATTTTATGTATTGATGGATCGAGCGAACATTTGAAAAAAATATGTTGTTATAAGTTATGCAGTAATTATGTTAGGATTTTAAATTTTTGTTCTGGCCCTAAAGTTTTTATGTGTACTGATCACTTATATCGCTCATTTGCTGCAAGACCGTCATAAATGAAAAAATATATTTTACAGAAAATGCGTTTTAAGTTTTCTATTTAAAGATATATTCATTAGAATTTTTTATACAATATGAAGTCGTATATAGCGACCAATTCTGCATTATTAACTCCAAAATCACGATTTTTTATTTATGCCGATCGTGCAGTAAATGAGCGATTTCGCTAAGATCGAAATAGATCCCGAAATGTATGTCCGCTTGCCCATAATATTTCGATTTGTTTCTCTAGGCAGAGCTGTAGGTACAGTTATTTAAACCTTAGGCAGGGATGTATTCCATGATTTTAAATTTCAAACGGGTAAACGCTCCTAATACCTGCATATACCAATAGTCGGCATCTGTTGTATATAACTTCAAATAACCTTGAATAATCTTCAATAATATTGCAACCATTTATTCAGCAAAAGTTTTGCATTTT